GTTGTTGTTGTTGTTGTTGTTGTTGTTGTTGTTGTTGTTGCTGTTGCTGCTGCTGTTGTTGTTGCTGCTGCTGCTGCTGTTGTTGTTGTTGTTGTTGTTGTTGTTGTTGTTGTTGTTGTTGTTGTTGTTGTTGTTGCTGCTGTTGTTGTTGCTGCTGTTGTTGTTGTTGTTGTTGTTGTTGTTGTTGTTGTTGTTGTTGTTGTTGTTGTTGTTGTTGTTGTTGTTGTTGTTGCTGCTGCTGTTGTTGTTGCTGCTGTTGTTGTTGTCGTCGTCGCTGCTGCTGCCCTGCCCTGGTGTGCCTGCGCGGTCGCTTTGTTGCCATGGCCCCCTCCCCCTCCCCCGCCTGTCGCTTCCTTGACTCTGCACCGCCACCGCCAGCTGACGCCCTTGCGGCTCCTCCCTGTCGCGCATCCCGGCTGCTGCTCGATGGTCGCTGCTGCTGCTGTGCACTGGCTTTGGCTTCCTGCTTCACTTCCTGCTGTTCTTCTTGTTCTTGCTTCACTTGCTGGTCTTCTTGTTCTTGCTGCTGCTGCTGTTTTTCTTGCTGCTGCTGCTGTTCCTCTTGTTCTTGTCGTTGTTGTTGCTGCTGCTTTGCCTTTGCTTTGCTTCCATCTCGCCTTCGTTTGCTCTTCTCCTATTGGTGTTGAGAATCACGAGGCACAGCACATCAGCACGCGCACACCACAATGCACAGCCTCACACCTCCATACACCCACGCACATGCACCTCAACCTCCACCTCCACCTCCACCTCCACCTCCACACACACACACACACACACACACACACACACACACACACACACACACACACACACACACACACACACACACACACCACGGCAACGCACCTTCTTCCTGCGCTTTTGGTTGCGCTCTTTACGCAGCTGCTCCAGCCGTGCCTTGTAGCCAACGCGGTACTTGGAGCGGTAGTAGTACAACACACACTCCGCAACAGACTTGCGAGGCAGGTGCTTGGCAATCTTCACAAAGTCCTTTGGCGTCTGCATGTACCGCTTCAGAAACGTCTGCTCCTCCTCCGCCGTCCACGCATTCACATTCGCAAGAATCTCGTGCTGCCCAACACTGGAGACGTCAAACACGCGAATGTACACACATGCATGCACGCGTGCATATGCACGCGGCAGTCACGAGACAGCCCAACACAACAGCAGACATGTCAGCGTGCGTGCACATTCGTGTGTGTGTGTGTGTGTCATCGTCAACAGCATATCCTTAGATACGCCGCTTGCAGTTGTACATGTATGCGTGCGTGTGCGTGTATGTGTATGTGGTGACTGCGATGACGCACGGGTCGGCGACGAGCCTGTTGGTGTCCACGATGCGCGGCTGGGTGCGCTTGGCGTGGCCAAACAGCTGCGGAGAATCCCGTGCAACACGAGCCTGTCTCATCAACATGCACGTACGCGCACCAGAAGAGGGGGAGGGAGGGTGATTAGCGACTCGAAGCAAACACAAACACACGCACACACACACACACACACACACACACACACACACACACACACACACACACACAACAAACAAAACAAACACAAACACACACAACAAACACACATCTACGCACAACACGCCCATCGCAACGCCCTCCACCTCAAAACAAATAGCGCCGCGGCTGCTTTGGAGGGGGCGGGGGCGTACAATGTGGTTGAAGGTGCAGGCGACGTCGTTTGGATCGAAGATGCTGGGAACATCGGCGGGGTCGACGCCCGATGTGGACTCGAGGTCCGGGTCATACGCCGCGCCAGGGGGCTCCGTCTGCACGCTCTTCGGCAGCACCTCCTGGAAATACTCAAAGTTGCTGCAGAGAGACAGAGAGAGAGAGAGCGGGCGGGCGGGATGGAGATGAGGAGACGTGCGTTGAGACGGGAAAGTTCGCGTGTTGTACATGTGCATATGTGTAAGCGCGCGTAGTTGTGCGTGAAGACGCTAACCAAATGGTGGCAAGACCACCGCCGCCGATAGGTGACCACGGCAACGTGTTACCTGAGGCTCTGCTGGCGCGCGTCGACTATGGCCCGGCGGGCGCGCCGCGTCCACTCCTTCTGCAATGCAAGGTAGTGCGCAGCAAGTTTCTTCCCCGCCGCCTGCATGCACACACGCGCACACGCGCACACGCACACGCGCAGTAGTTGGTTGGAGAAGGAGGAAGGCCAAAGGGCGGATGAAGGAGTGTAGGATGAGAGCAACGCGGGTCATTGGCAACACCAAGTGTTCATAGAGAACACCACTTGTGTGCATGGAGCGAACTCAAACAGCACATGCACCCAGACATGCAACCACACAGGTGCACACACCTCGTCCTCGGAGCGGCACTTTGCGACGTAGCAAGTGAGGGCGGTGATCATGGACGGGGTCTTTTCGCAGACGCGGCGGACAGCGTTGTAGTGCTGCGGCGGCGGTGGATCAAGCAGCGCTCGCGCATCCTCAAGCACATCCCGCACTGGCTCGGGTACATTCTTCCGCGCCTGTACCACACACACACACATGCCACGCAGGTGTGTACGCATGTTGTATCAAGCACAAGATGCACAGAGATGTGAGTTGGTGGGCTGATGGGGGAAAGGTGCAATATTTGTGTGTGTGTGTGTGTGTGTGTGTGTGTGCATGTGGTGTGTGTGCATGTGGTGTGTGTGTGTGTGTGTGTGTGTGTGTGTGTGTGTGTGTGTGTATGCATGTGGTGTGTGTGTGTGTGTGTGGGGGGGGGGGAGGCGGGTGTGTTGCCAATCGTCGAATCCGTCCATCCATGCACACCTTTGCGGGCACACGCAGCCCAACAGATGCATGGTGTATACACACACCTTGATTTGGTTTTCTCTGTACACACGCTTGATCAGCGCCTGCAGCGTCTCCTGTGGCCAACACAAGAACGCGTATAACGGCCGTGCGAGCAGTGAGCACTGACGCGACGCAGATTGCATCGCGTACTCGCGGGCGTGCTTGTCTTCAAACACACACACACACACAGACACACAGCTCATCACCTGCAAGATCGCGAGGGTGCTACCGACACGCACTCAGACCGCACCTCAAGCCCGCACCACAAACCACGACATGCACGTAATCTGCGCAGCACGGACCGCACCTGTCCCGTTTCTTCCGCGAGCCAGGCGTCCTCGGAGGTGCCCATGCTGTGCAGTTCGTGGTGGTGCTCGCGCTCGTGATGCAGGAGCTCCTGCAGCTCCACGCGCCGCCGCTGACACAACACATAACGCAGGCATGCACGTGACATGAGGGGGGAGACAAGGTGCAGATGGGACGCTTGTCGATTCGCGGCCTCCACACACTGCCACCCAACAGTGTACACGACAGTACACGAGATAGCTGTTGCGAGTGCACAGAGAAACTAAAGACAGAGAGAGCGACGAGACAGGCAGCCACACACGCACACACAGCCACACGCACACACAGCCACACACACACACACACACACACACACACACACACACACGCACAGCCACACGCACGCACAGCCACACGCACGCACGCACACACGCAAACACAAGGATGAATGGGAGGGGTGGTTGCTGGCATACGCGAAGGGTGGCGAGGTCCTGTTTGAGACGGGCAAGCTCGGCATCCTTGAGGTTCATCTGCTCCAGCCAGTACTCTGTCGACTCTGCTTGCACAAAACCAGCGCCGAAAAGCAAGCGCACAACAAGGGGTTGAGCGTGTGACACGAATCATTCCAGCAACTGTGTCGACAGGAGAGCCACGCAAGAGCAGCGGTAGGAGGGAGGAACAAGGGGGGGAGGCGCGAGAGTGTGCAGGTGCACACCTTCTTTGCTCCGTTGTGGAGTGGGCTTGGTTGGAGACTTGTCGACACGCTGTACTCTTGCTTTGCCCTTTGGACTCCCTGGCCCCCGCAAACAAGGTGGAAAAGCAGTCGACAAGCAAGGAAAGACAACAACGCAACAGCAGCGATACAGCAATACAGTGGTGGGAAAAGATGGCGTGAGCTGGTGCAAGGCGAGACGCAGGGTCATTTCAACTTGACGGGAGCGACAAGAGATGGGGTGACCTGGTGCAAGGTGAGACGAGAGAGGAAGCTGGCAAGCGCGCGGACTGAAACCTACTTGCAGATATTGAAGCGGAGGTTGGAGATAGCGACCGTTCGGAGCTGGTTGACGAGGTGAAGCGGTTCGAGGACTTCTTCTGCCGCGCCGAGCGCTGCTGACCATCCTCCTCCTCCTCATCGTCGTCGTCGTCGTCTTCGTCCTCCTCGTCCTCGTCCTCGTCGTCTTCGTCTTCATCTTCGTCGTCGTCATCCTCGTCGTCGTCCTCGCTCATGTCAAACCCGTCATCGCGCTGGCGCCGCGAGGGCTTTCCGCCCTTTGGCGCAAAGTCCGGCAGCATCTGCGCCCGCCGCACCACTGGCGCCGACGCTGCCGATGCTGCTGATGTTGTGGCCGTGGTTGTGGGTGGGTTTTTCGATGGTGGCTGCTGATGCTGCTGCTGTTGTTTCTCTGGTGAGAACACCAGTGCTGGAGGTGGCCTGTCATCCTGCATGGCGCGTACATCTCCCCTTGCATCCTCACCACCGCTGGGCGTCGTTGTTGCTGCCTCTCGACCACTCGCCATCTCCGCCAGTTGTCTGTTGTGCTGTGTTGTGCGCGGTTTGTGCGCTTTGTGCTGCTTCTCTGCAATCGGCGAATGTGGAAAATTGGATGAAAATATACACCATTCATCCACACTGCAAGCCGTTGCGGCGGGAAATTTTCAAAACGACAAGACCAAGCACATTAACTCTCCAACGCGCACACCTCGTCCCGTGTGCTTTGCTTTGCTGTGCTCTGCTGACGCTTCCTTTGAGTCTAGTAGGGTGCGCACTGCCGAGCGTGTCGACAACGACAGACGCACTGCCCAGCGTGTCGCCAACGACAGACGCATTTGAGAGAGAAACACAGAAGGGGAATATTCAGAGTGGGAGATTGCGAAGGAAAAGCAAGATGGAGGATCCACAGCTGGCGCAGATTCAGCAGCAGGTTGCTGAGGCGCAGCACGAGTTTGATACCTGGGTGTCATCCGTGAACAACACCTTTGAGACCAAGCAACAAGAGCACAAGCGGAGTGTTCTCGCATCACGAGGTGAGTGTGCTGTGCATTGCGTGGATGGTGTGTGTTTTGGTGCAACTGTGGGTGTTTAGTTGCAGCTGTGTCATGTGGAAATCGCAGCAGCGCACGCGGTGTCGCCTGGTTTGTGTGTGTGTGTCTGTGTGTCTGTGTGTCTGTGTGTCTGTGTGTCTGTGTGTCTGTGTGTCTGTGTGTCTGTGTGTCTGTGTGTCTGTGTGCAGCACATGTGCACGTTGTTTCCTGAGTATCTCACAAATGCTATCATTGTCGTGCTTGGCAACTGTGCAACTGTGTTGTTTGCAGACAACATCAAGCACTTGCGTGAGCAGATCAGCTCAAAGGCAACAGAAAAGCAGGCGAACGAAAAGGTTGCGCGCAAGCAGGAGCAGGAGCGAAATGACATTGAGGACAAGATTTCTGCCGTGCACAAGGAGACGGAGCAGCTCCTCTCTGTTGACCAGCGCCTGAATCAGGAGATTGCTGCCCTCAACGCAGAGAAGGACCGCGTTCTCCAAGGTATGCACAAATGTCTGATTGTGTGTGGGAGGATGCTTAGTTGTTAGTACATGTGTGCGGGTGCTGTTGTCCTGCATGTGTGTGTGTGTGTCTGTGTGTTTGTGTGGCTGTGTGTGTATGTGTGTGGTTGTGTCTGTGTCTGTGCTTGCGTGTGCGTACGTGTGCGTCTGTGCACGTGTGTTGTGTGTGTGTGTATGCGGTGCTCATTTATCGGCCGATTCAAAGCAATGCATGAATGAATATGTTGGTTTCTTCCCTGCCTGTTCTATGCAATCCCTGGTGCCTCTGTTGCACACGCCCTTGCTTCAATGCGTTGCGTGGCTGTGTCTATCAACACGCAGAGATTGAGGAAGTGAAGCAGGAGAACGACAGTGCATGCGCCCGAAAGACGCAGGGCATCGAGTGGTACCAAGACAGGCTTGGATGGAGCATGAAGACGAAGAAGCGTGAGTTGCGCGCGTCAACTGCTGGCGTCGACTGCTTGTTCTTGACCTGTTAAGTTGGAAAACCACGACTGTCATTGCTTCTTGTTCAACACCCTCACCTCGCTATCCTTCTGGTCTGGCGTTGCATTCTCCCTGTGTGCAGGCGACACGCTGAGCATGCGTTTCACGCAGATTGACCCAGATGACCGCGATCGCCCCTTCAGTTTCGACCTTGTTGTCAAGCCAAACGACACTTACGAAGGTGACTTTTGGGTGCACGTGTGCGTATCTCTTTGTGTTTGTGTGTGTGTGTGTGCCTGTGTTTGTTTGTTTGTTTGTTTGTTTGTTTGCTTGTTGTTTGTTCGCGAGTGTGTATACGAGTGTGTGTGTGTGTGTGTGTGTGTAGACGTGGTGCGTGTGTCTGTGTGTATGCCTGTGTGTGTATGTCTGTGTGTGTGTAGACGTGCATGCGTGTCAACGTGTGTGCACTTGTGTACCGTTGTCCATGTGCGTGTGCACGTGCATGTGCACCGTGTGTATGTGCAACGTTGAATCCACAACTCTCACATGACCTTGCCTTGGTGTGGCCAAAACAACCAGCTGTGAACATGGAGCCGAAGATTGATGTGCAGCCACTGTTGGATGAGCTCAACACAAACAACAACCTTGGTCGTTTTCTCTTCCGCGTTCGCAACGCCTTCAAGGCGTCCCTCTGAATCAGCACGCGCGATGTTTTGTCACATAACCTTCCCTTGTTACACTGACCTGCTGATGTGTGTGACTGTGTGTGTGTGTGTGTGTGTGTGTGTGTGTGTGTGTGTGTGTGTGTGTGTGTGTGTGTGTGTGTGTGTGTGTGGTGCGCATGTGCACCAATGCTTTGCTTCACCAACCACCACTGTCGCCTACTTCCCTTCCTCCTCAGAAAAAGGCAATTTTGCCTTCCATGCATGGTCAAAATTGACATCCAACGACGACAACAACAAAGCTCGAGAAGCAAGCCAACCAAGCAAACAAACAAACCCTTGAGTGGCTGGATATGAGCAGCAGCGGTGGCGGCGGCGTGCGAGCGATGGAGGATATGGAAGGCGAAGCTGACCACAGTCAGGGCTTCTCCGGGTGCTGGCAGGGCGTGGACATCTCTGGTGCGGGGTTCTTCGCTGCAGTGCTCGTGTTTTTGATGCTGATCCTGTTCCCCGTGGCCATGGGCACAGACCAGTGGGCATCATCCGACGCCGTCAACATGGGCCTCTTCCAGTACTGCGACACCAGATGTCAACAATGTACGTGCACAGGGCGGATGTGAAAGAGGTGCGAGGAGCCGGTGGGAGCAGATGCTGTGCTTGTGTGTGTGTGTGTGTGTGTGTGTGTGTGCGTTTGAAGTTGTGGTTGTGTATGTGTGTGTGTGTGTGTAGTTGTTGTTGTTGTGTATGTTGTTGTGTATATTTTGTGTGGTTTTCGTTCGACAACACTTGCGACTTGTGCTGTTGCTCTCTTCGCTGTGTTGAGGGCCAGTACTTGTTTGTCTTTCTTCTTCTTTTTTTTCCTTTTCTTCTTCTTCTTCTGCTTCTTCTTCTTCTTCTTCTGCTTCTTCTTCTTCTTTCTCTTGTTCTTGTTCTTGTTCTTGTTCTTGTTCTTGTTCTTGTTCTTCTTTTTGTTCTCCCTCACCTTCGTCATTTGAACCCCACCGCAACCACGACGAAACGCAGATGTGGACAACCGATTCCCACCCACAGGCCAGAACGACTTGAACCTTGTCACCACGACAGAGGCGTGTGCTGCCTTCATCGGGCTTGCCATTACGGCGTCCTTCTTCGCCATGGTACAGATTGTGTTTGGACTGGGCCGCACAGGCTATGACCGCACCGTCTTCCGCGCAGCCGTCTGTGCCTACTTTGCAGGTGCGTGTGTGTGTGTGTGTGTGTGTGTGTGCGTATGTGTGTGTGTGTGTGTGCGCATGTGTATGCATTTGTGCTTGTGCACTTGTGCGTGTCTGTGCTTGTGCGTTTGCGTGTCTGTGCGTGTGCGTTTGCGTGGAACAGCTTGCAAGAGAGATACGAAGAGAAGGAGAGCGACTCTGTGGGGTGGGTTCTGCGGTCGTGCATGTGTGTGCCTGCGATCCAATACGATCCGCTCTGCTTGTGCCCTCACGTCTTTGGCGCCATGGCAGCCGGGTGCGGTATCCTGGCGACGATCATTTTCGGGGCGCTGGTGAATGAGCTGCCATCGTCGTACGCGGTGGGCTACTCGTTCAACGTGAATGTCGCTGCCTGGATCATCAGCGCCATTGCGGGCATGCTGCTCAACATCGACTCCCGCAACATCAGCTACGTCGACCCAGCCATCGCCGTCCACACCGGCGGCCGCCAGATGATGTGCGTGGCAAGAATCGAATGTCTGTGTTGTGTTGTGTTGTGTTGTGTTGTGTGGTGTACTTTGTGTGGATAACTGTGTGTGCTGTGTGTATACTTTGTGTGTGCGGTGTGTGTGTACTTTTTGTGTGCTCTGCGTGTGCTGTGTGTGTACTTTATGTGTTGTGTCGTGTTGTGTTGTGTCGTGTTGTGTTGTGTGTGCATCGACGTCTGCATAATGTTGCGACTGGGCGATTTGGTCCACCCACACGTGTCTGTTTGCCTGTGTTGCGTGTCTCCTTTGTGCTTCCTTGGCATTGACGCCTCAACCCCACGCACCCCTTGCCTTTCCGTTTATTTCGCCATGACAGTTGAGGCTGCGCGTTGTCACCACCGCCACAACACCACGTCCAATCTCCATCATCCAAGCAGTGCTGGTCGCTGTTCCCCATTTGCAACCAACACACACACACACACACAACCCCGCAGCCTGTTTTTCCTTCCACTGGCGCGTGTGCTGACTCGTGCTTCCTCCAACCACCCCATCCTCTCCTCCCTTACCCATTTCTCCTCCCCACAAGCACACACACGCACTCAAAGCGCAACAACGCCACCCTCTGTCTTGTCTCCTTCATCATCACCACCACCATCATCATCATCATCATCATCATCTTCGTTGCTGCGGCTGTTGCTTGGTCAACAGCTGCCTGTTCCCTTCATCACCATCCCATCTTCGTTGCTGCTGCTGCTGCTTCTTCTTCTTCTTCTTCTTCTTCTTCTTTCAGTAGACCGCTCACACACAGCACCCTCCACCACCCCCCCCCCCCCCCATCGCTGCTGTCTTCGTGCTGGTGAGATGTCACATCACAATCCTTACCCCGTTTTGTTGCAGTGTTACACCCCCCCCCCCATTTCTTATCACACGCAGTTGTACCGCTTTGCGTTTCTTCTTACTTGGACTTCGCTGATGTACTGGTGTGCTGCGACACCAGCCATCGTGTCATGTCATGTCACATGTCTTGGTTCGTTGCAATTGATTAAGAACACTCTAAAGAACCCCATACAAACACGCCCACACATTCACAACAAGCAAGCGAGAAGCAAGAACCCCCCCCCCCATTGTTAAGAACAACCGGCACAACACACACACACACACACACACACACACACACACACACACACACACGCACACGCACACACACGCACACACGCACATATACACAGCTCTCTGCTCAGTCGCTGTCGCTATCACTGTCGGAGTCGCCAGCGTCGCTGTCATCGTTTGCGACGCGCCTGTTTGCCTTCCGTCTCCGCTGCGCCCCAAAGACGCCCAGCCGCGCGGGCCGCTGCTTCGCCAGACTCGACTCGCCAAGGCTGATCACCCCAGTCCGCGCAAGCCGCCCCTGCCGTGATGGGTAGTAGTGGTGATATTGACATGGAGGAAGGTTGGATGGGACAACTGTCAGCGTAGTTTGTGGAAAGGGGGGCAGATGAACGCTATAATGGTCATAATGGCCTGCGATTGTGCTTTTGTTCTTGCACACACACACACACACACACACACACACACACACACACACACACACACACTTCCCCGCCCCGCACCAGCCTCATTCGTATTTGAGTTCCTCGATTCGAGCGGCCTTCTTCTTGGCCATCTTGGGATCAAGCCGCACGCGTGTCAGCCACCTGTTCTTCCTGCGGTCGCCGCGCGTGTGGGTCGCCTTCTCCGCCCGTAACCGCTTCGGCTCGGGCACCTGCGCTGCCTCCAGGTGCTCCACCCGCCACCCCATCGCCCGGCCCGTCGCAACCACGGCCTCCTCAAGCGCCAGCATCGTCTCGTCCACGCGCTCCACGTCGTCGTACACCTCCAGCGTCGGCAGGTGACCCTTCAGCAGCGACAGGTTGTCTGCGTTGAGCTTGCGGTCCCACGCGCCCAAAGCCTCCGCCTCCACCTCCTGCGCATCAGATAACAAAGTGATTGGGTAGGTGAGTGTGTGTTTGTGTATGAGTGAGTGTGTGGGTGCGTGTGTATGTGCATGTGTGTGTGTGTGAGTGTATGTACTTTTGTGCATGTGCGTGCGAGTGTGCAAGGAGTGAGTGTGTGAGTGTGTTTGTGTGTGTGCGTGTGTGTCTGGACGACAACATGAAAATGACAGGATCTGTTTGCCTGCTCGCAGCAAGAGCGACAACAGCGCAATTGTTGCCACGTCACCCCGGCCTGTCTGTCTTCACCTTGTTGATGAGGCCCATGATCTGCTCAACAAGCTGATCCTCCGACGTTGTCTCATCGCGCACAATCCAGGCATAGCTGCAAGTGTGTGTGCGTGCATGTGTGTGTATGTGCGTGAAAGTGTGTGTGTGCATGTGCATGGGTGAGCGAGTACACGTGCTTATTGTGTTGACACCAAGGCACACCCCGAAACTGCACTCTGCAGCTCTCTTCCAGCTCATAAGCACGTGAGTTCTTCCCATCCAGCCGAAGCCGGGCACAAGACAGAGTAAACACACGCACACGACACATGCACATTACACATGCACATAACACATGCACGCAACGCACATACACATGCACACGCACAACACAACCTTCCCCACCCACACACGCACAACACAACCTCACACGTACCTTGGGTCTGCGCGGAACGAGCGCATCTGCTTTGCACAGAGGCGGCGGGTGGCTGCCATGTAGTTGAGCAGAAACCGGTAGAACCCCTTGCGTCGCATCAGCTTCGTCTTGGTGCTTGGCTTGAGCCAGAAGCTGTGCAGGAACTCAAAGCACTGCCGGTAGCCAATGCTCTTTGCCGCGTGCATTTGCCCCTCCAGCCCCTCCTCAACCAGCCTGCAGCAACAGCAGATTCGGGTGGGGCGAGGGTGAGCAACCCTCACGCACACACAAACTCGCACACACAAACACGCACACACTCTCTCATTTACAAAAGTCGCGCACTCACACCCATTTAAACACACACGCACGCACGCACACACACACACACACACGCACGCACGCACGCACGCACACACACACACACGCACACGGCGCAGAGGATGAAGCCATTGAGGCAGACAACGTGACTTTATTGCCGGCGCAATGCGACCCGAATCAAGCGTCACCCATACCGGAGCGTCTCCTCCATGATGCCACGGTCGACAATGTGTTCGCAGCGCTGGTTAATGCGCTCAAACAGCAGCCAGCGCGGTGCTGTCAGATACAGGCGTGTCACATCAAACGCGGACGACAGCCCAGGTTCCAGCTAACGCTCGCATCGGCAAGGGGTGGAAAGGAAGCGGGCAAGGCAGCAGCAAATGTGAGCGAGGAGAAAGGGGACAGCCCGCGCACATGCACATGCACACACATACACACACTCTCTACTGGTGCGACTGACCTCGTGCTTGTACGATGAGAAGGGACGACCCGACATGCGATACACGCTCATTGCGCGCGTGAGGCGATACCAGTCGTTGCGGTCGATGCGCGCAGCGCTCTCGGGATCCACAGCATGAAGATCGGCGTGTGCTCGATCCCAGTCCGACCCGCCATCGTACTCGCGCAGGATCTGGCCACACAGCACACACACGCGCGCGCGCGTGTGTGTAAACACGCGTGTGCAAATGGGAATGAAACAAGGCAGGGGTGTTTGAAGAGAGAGAGTGTGTGTGTGTGTGTGAGTGAGAGAGACGCACGCATGGAGAGGGAAAGAAGGTCCAACGCGTGCGTGGTTGAACACGTGGAAGGCAACGCCTCGCAGCTTAGCGGAGTGCCCTCGCTTCACTCCAAACTCACACGCTTGAACGGTACACACATCAAAACACATGCACACACACACATGTGCACGCTCACACAAACATGCGCACATTCGCCTGCACGATCGTATATTTGCACACACATACACACACAATCTCTTGCCCACTCTCATACTCGTACCTGATCTTCAAGCACGACGTCTGCACGCGGAGCCGCGGGCCTGCCATTTAACAAAAAGTTGAGGTAGAACCACGTCCCTCCAACAATGAGGGGCGTCTTGCCACGGGACGCAATATCTTGACACAGATCCATGGCGTGCTGGAAGAAGTCTCCCGAAGAGTATGTGTCGTAGATGTCACAGGTGTCGATAAGGTGGTGCTTGACAGCCTGCCGATGCTCCGGAGAGACCTTGTCGGAGCCAATGTCCATGCCCTTGTACACCTGCACGGAGTCTGCCGAGACAATCTCCGCATTCAATATCCTCGCCAACCGAATGGAGAGATCTGTCTTGCCCACGGCAGTCGGCCCCGTCAACACAACCGCCTTTGGCCTCGCTTCAGCCGCCATGGGCCCCGTTGCAGCGGCAGCGGCAGAGTTCAGCGCGCGTCGCCCGCGCCGCCACAGCACCACACGTGCACGGTTCATCATCATCGTCATGTTGCTGGTAGTTGTGCGGTGAAAGTTCGGAAGATTTGTGAATGGTTTCCTCTAACATTCAGCATTGACTGCAACGCAGCGCAACAACAACAGCAGGACGAGCAGCGGAACAGTGTGGTTTGTGTTGTTGTTGGAACGACCAGGAGGAGGATGATGATGCTTCGAGGCAGTGTGCGGCGGATGACCATCCAGGCAGCCGCGTACCCGCGATTCAACGCCCTCACCAAAGTGTCTGCAAGCACAGCTGGGGATGAAGTGCACTTTGTGACGGAGGATGCCCTCAAGCGCAAGATGGAAGGCAGCTCGTGAGTGGCTTGCGTTTGTTGGGTGTGCTTGTGTATGTGTTCTTGTGGTTTGTGGTTTGCGTGTGTTTGTGGTTTGTGGTTTGCGTGTGTTTGTGGTTTGTGGTTTGCGTGTGTTTGTGGTTTGCGTTCGCGCGTGTGTGTGTTTGTGCATGTGTTTGTGGTTTGCTTTCGCGTGTGCTTGTGCTTGTGGTTTGCTTTCGTGTGTGCGTGTGTTTGTGTGTGCTTGTGTGTGTGTGTTTTTGTGTATGTGTGTCTGCGTGTGATGTGAGAGTGTGCGCTTTGCGTTGGTTGTACTGTGCACTGATTACCTGCAATGAGGTTTGGTTCACAGCTTCAACTGACAAGTGTCGTCATTGGTTGAAGTTGCGCTTTTCCACTGACATGAACTAAACGACTGCTTGCGTTGTCCGCACAGAAGCTTCAATGCTGAGGATGTCAAGAAAGAGAAGGTGTTCCGCGAATACAAGGACGGAAAGCGCATCTTTCATTTCGTCGTCGACGATTCCAAGAAGAATACCAACGGTGGCAAAGGTGCGGCACTACGCGCGCACGTATGTGTGTGTGTGTGTGTGTGTGTGTGTGTGTGTGTGTGTGTGTGTGTGTGTGTGTGCGTGGTGTGTGTGTGTGAGTATGTGTGTGCGTGGGAGGAACGCTGTGAGTGTGTCAGGCACGGATGGGATGAGAGTGAGAGAAGTGATAATAATAAGAGAAAGAAGAAGTATCAGAGGTGTCCCATCTTCCATCCCTGCCGGCTGACGCCAGCCCCACGCACATGGCCCAATAAAAGCGAGCTAAAAGCGACGACCCACATCAAAGATGGCATAGACGAGATGAAGTATAGCGG